AGGAGGAGGAGGAGGAGGAGGAGGGAGATGGAAGAAGAGCCAGGAGATTGGCCGCTGCTCTGCATCCTGGGAACTGGAGTCCGCAAATGGAGAAAGTGAGGCACGGCGCCTGGCGCTGCAAAGGGTGGGTTCTTGCCACGTTCGGGGAACCGACGGAAACCGGACGAAGTCCCTAGTCGTTCCTTCTGGTTTCCATACCCCCTTGTGAGGAAGGATTGCCAATGTCCTCACTATCCCCGCACACACCTCCCCACCAAAACATATATGCACTCTTTTCAGGGTGCCCCCACCTCCACCTCCAGTCTTTCGGGATCCTCAGGACCTGTGTCCCTTTTTAGGAAACTGAGGTAGGCTCGCTGCAACCTGGATAGAGTACTGTTATTCTGGACAAGTCCCAAAACACACTCCTCGCAGGCAATCCTCCTAAGTCTGGATGAGAGGAAGGGATCCGAATGCCTTTTCTGCAATAACTATACACATGCAGTAGACAGGAGACAAATTAACCATGTGCTGGATACTTTATATATTCTTAGTTATTCCTCACTCTCATTATGAATTACATGGAATCGTCTCCTCATAGCAAATGAAGAGATTGCGGTTAAAATAGGTAAAATTGAGCAAAAAACCACATCTATTGAGAAGTTGAGCCATGATTCAAACCAAAGGCCATATTAAAAGTAAAATGTGGAGAATACAGGAAAATTAGGCCCACTAGAACTTCCTGCAATGATGAAAAGCACTGTATCTGCACAAAGATAGTAGCCATTACCCACCTATCAAAATGTAGGGTGTACAACTGAGGAACTTTTTATTTCAACAAAATCAAACTTCTTTTTTAAAAAGAATTATTTATTTATTATCATTATTATTTAATTTGACCAGAAAGAGAGAGACAGCAAAAGTGAGAAAGCAAGCCACCAGGTCCGGGACTGAAACTGTGGTTGGCTATGTGGGAGTCCAGTACCTCAACCACCATGCCGTCTGCTGACCCCCTAAATTAAACTTCAGTAGCCATGGCTAGCAGGTGGTGTGGTGGTTGGGGCACTTAACTTCCACATGGTCCACCCCGGTTTGAGTCCTGGACCTGGTAGCTTGCTTTCTCACTTTCCCCATTCCCTCTCTGCCTCTCTATGGTAAGCACAAGTACCCCACAGCGTATTAAAAATATATAGGACAATAAAATTAAATATTTTTTTAAAATAAAAAGCTTAAATAGCCATATGTAACTTGCGACTTCCATATTGGGAGATCCAGGAAACCTTAGTCCCTACTGGCCAATATCATAGGCGGGATAGGTATGTCTTCTGTTAGCCATATTTTGGCATCACGTTCTCTGCACAGATCATTCAGCTCTATTTCAGAAAAAAAAAAAAATGTTCAGCAGTGACCTCACGCTTGTCCAGCTTTAGCAAATTAACTAAGACAGAAGTTGAAAAATGGCAGAGAAGCAGATCTTCATCAGAAAGACCTCCGATAGCACTGACTGCCAACAGTTTTTGAGGGTTTATGTATGAGGGACTATGCTAAACATTACACATAATGGGACCAGCAGTTGGCGTAATGGCTATGTCGCTGGACTCCCATGTAGTCAACCACAATTCAAGTCCCAGATCCAGTGGCTTAAACTTATGCCGGACATGTGTGCGTGTGCCCAAGATCCCGAGGGGAGAATGGAAGAGAAAGGATTGCTGCGTGGCCATCCCCCTGGGAGGTGATTTCTTGCTTTCTGTCTCTCTGTCTCTCTCTTTCTGGTAAGCACACGGGCCCTATAGCAAAAACATCTCAAAAAAAAAATTACACATATCACCTCATTTAATTTTCACCTCAACTCTATGAAGCAGGTCTAATCACACTTTTATAAAGGCAAAACTAAGGCTCAGAAAGGTTAAGTAATTGCCCAAGGCCACACAGCAAAGTGGAAGAGCTATTAACCAGCTATTAACCCCTGTTCAGTACTGGTCCCAGGCCTTGAAAACCATTAAAGATAAACATCTAGAAGACCTCAGATGTTTGTAAATCTACTCCAGACCTCAAGGAAATGTCACTGGGAAAATAGGACCCTCCCACCCCCCACCTCATCCCCACCCCCCCATAATGAGTATCCCAGGTCAGATCTGCAAAAGAACTTATTTTTTTAACAGTTATTTTATTTAACCTTATTTATTTTATTTTTATTTTTAATTTGATCAGAGAGGGACAGAGCAAGAGAGAGCGAGGGAAAGCCAGAAAGGAAGCTGCCAGGTCCAGGACTTGAACTGCGGTTGGCCATGTGGGAGTCCAGGGCCCTTAAGCACAATCTAACTGCTGGTCCCGCAAAAGGGTCTAAATTTTAATGAAAGGAGAGAGGGTGTTGACAGCCATGAAAACCTTCTAAGTCATTGACACTGCTCTATGGAGTATGTTTCTCCCAGCAGCCCTATTTCTTTTTAGATTCTGGATTAGGGAAGCAAAAACAGCTGCCAGAATTTTTTTTTTTTTTTTTTTTTGAGGGGTTTTTGTTTTGGGGCACTTTTTGCTATTGGGCACGTGCACTCGCCAGAAGGAGAGACAGAAAGCGAGAAATCACCCCCTGGGGGGATGGCCACACAATCCTTTCTCCTCCACTTTCCTCTCGGGATCTTGGGCGCATACGCACATGGCGTGAGTCCCCGGGTCTGGGACTCGAACCACAGTCGGCTACATGGGAGTCCAGCAACATAGCCATTACGCTAACTGCTGGTCCCAGCTGCCAGGATTTTTGAAAATCATCCTGACAAGCCATCATGCCCAACTCTAAGTCTGGAGCTAGGCCATAGCTAAAAATTATACCTAGATTTTGTCCATCCTCCCCAACTAAGTACACTGACAGGATACTTCAGGATCCCCCCAGTTTGCAGGAATGGTCTATGCTCACCCAATAAAGATATACAATCCAGGGGCTGGCAGGCAGCATGGTGGTTAAGGATTCAGGACTCCCACATGGCTGATGGTAGTTCAAATCCTGGACCTGGCGGCTTGTTTTCTCACTCCCCTCCCACTCTCTCTTACTCTGTCTCTCTCTGGTCAAATTTAAATGAATAAATAAAGTTAAATAAAAATAATTCTTAAAAATTAGATATATCATCCAAGTAATAAAGTGGTTGGAGTATATTCGACAGGTTAGGTTCTCAGGCTGGCCAAAATGGAGGGCGAGGCCATGGAATAGACTTCCTCTAAGACAAAACCTTCGTAGCTAAAATATCCTTCCTCCTGTTGAGGCAGTAAGTCAGTAAGAAAGGGCAATAGCTTCAATACTTAGGTGTGAAAGGTGCAGATAGCTCCCCAAAGGCATAGACATCCATTTCAATGCAATGGCACTAGGGTCATAGGGAGCAGGGAGGGGGTGGTATGCACCAGGAGTATTATTTATTACTTTGCTTCTAAAGTCTCTTGGGGAATCAAAATCTTCACAACACTTGGTCTCTGCCTCTACACTCCTCCATTCTTACATCATTAGGAATGAGTCCCAGCAAATGCCAAGGCCCCAGGACGATAGCTGGGTCAGCGTGTGGCAGCTGGCCACTAGAGGGTGGTGTTTCTGTAGTTAAGGGGCCCTTGAGCACCTACAAACTTGGATGGGAGTGGCAGTCAACTGGACTCAGTGTACTGAGAACCTGTATTGAGAACAGAAAGGAAAAGCAAGTAGTAATGATCCTCAATAAAAGAGGAGGAAGGCACAGGAACAAGGTAGGAAAGATTCACCAAAGACCATAGCTATCACCTCTTGGGAAAGGAGATACTGACTGTTAGCTCTCCCCAGACACACAGAAGTCAACGACAAAAGAGTCTTCAGTTTATTTGCATATATACATTGTCATCCTATGGAGCCAGCTCTTCTTCAGGAGTCCCCAGCTCCCCTCACCCATCCAGCATCCAAAACCTACACAAGGAGGATGGGTCCTGGATAAAGACGCCTAGGACTCATACCCTACCCCACAGGTTATAACAGAAGTCATTGAGCAAAAACAGAGGCCAGAGCCTATGAGACATCTTTGCCCCTTTGTAAACATTGACACCCAGGCCACTGGAGCCTGGGGAAAGTGTGCAAACAAGAGGGTGCCACGCCGTGTGCCCAGTTACACAGCTGGCAACCATACCCGTGAAGTCCTGAGGGCCCAACCGCAGTGGAGCCTGGCCAATGCCAGGGGCAGAAATGAGGCAGATACCCCATGTCTGAGGGCTCACATGAGATAGCAGCG